GCAGAGGTGTTCCAGCCCTCAGAGCATCTTTATGGTCCTCCTCTGGACTCACTCGAGCAGTTCCACATCCCTCTTGTGTTGAGGCCCCCAAAGCCAAACACAGTACTGCAGGTTGGGCCTCACAAGATTAGAGTAGAGAGGCAGAATCAGCTCTCTTGACCTCCTCGTCACACTCCTTTGGATGCAGCTCAGGATACAACTGGATTTCCATTTCACTGATAAAAGTTAAATAATATGAAGAAATATGGCAGCACACTAAAAGGGAACTTCCTTAGTGAGGATTCTTTAGGTATGCTTAAGTTTGAGATCAGTCAGTTAACTGGTTTTATCATCTACCATTTTGGTGATGATTCAGCAGAAATATAATCTATAATAATTAAAATTTCATGTATATATACATACATTTCATATATTTGATTTGCATTCATGTATTTACCAATCAAATCTGTGACATGATCAAAACGGGACTGATTTGCTTTGGAAATTATTTGGTTTTATCTTCTTACTGGTATTGATTGTACATCTCTCCTTTTATTTCTTTAATGATGAAATCCCATATCTGCTCTTTTGTTATATTTACTAGAACTGATACCAGGTTGCCAGAAGTATGGTTCATTTCGTAATCCCTTTAATGGCTTTTGCGTTCTTGTATGTAGCTATGTTTATTTTCTCCTTCCTTCTCCCACTAAATGCACTTTTACATGCCAAAAAGTGTATGTCAAAAGATAGTTGCTGTTGGCATACACGAGCCACTTTGTGACAGGATCAGACTACCAAGGTGTTTTTCTATAATCAGACAAAGAAATGTGAGTGAAGCCTCCAGAACAGACAGAGCAATATGTATTAGTATACTGAGTCCATCTATTTCCAGGGAGCATCCTTCAGTGATGAAGAGAATTAATTCCCTTTGTTTCTCTTCATCTTGTGGACACAATCATTGCTGCTGTGCTTTTACACTGATGCTTCTCCACCTTGACATACTCTTCTCTCTTCATTAATTTTGGTGACTGCTGCTCTCGTTTCTGTTCTTGGCATCCTTTGTTGTTATTTATGGAGTAGAAAGGTCAGTTTGCCCTTTTGAGACTTTGTAAATCCTGGCAAGACCCCATTAGTTTATCTGAGAAAACAGTTGGGATCTCATTGCTTTTCTCATCAACCCACAGTGAAGTTTCCCTTCCCCATATAAATGCCTCAGCCACCTGATACAACTGGAGCTAGAGATGGGTAAGAAACAGTTTCCCCTTGCTGAAAAAGTATTTGTGTTTTCAAACATTCTTCTATCATGTTGCGTGACAGTTACCTCCTGGAATGTGTTCTGCTGATGGACCCAGCTCGTTGTGGACAAGGACAAACCAGCACCCTTCCAGATCTACTGGAAAAAGAGAGAGTTGTATACTGGAGTCAGGCACAAATACCTGTGGGCTAATTTAGCAGCTGCAACAACCAAATGAGACAACTCTCATTGCAGAACAAATGCTTCCTTCTACAGAGAGATACCTTCCTTGTTCTTCCCCAGCTTCCAGACCTCTCCCTTCCTGCTTCTCCTTCTGTTTCTCAAAAACCTTAACATGATTTTCAGGCCATCCTTGTCACCTGCTTCTCTTTCTGGGATGCTCCAGTGGAGCTCTGCTCTTGCTTCTTTTCTCTCATGTGTAGCTGCTGGCTGATCCCATAAATAGCAAATTATCTCTATGCAGGTGACAAAGCTGATTTAACATCTGGACCTCTCTCCTCTGTTCAATCCAGGCCTATCTTTCTGGCATGTCTTCAACAATTATCAGCTCCTAGAGTGACTAGTGCAGATCTTGGCCAAGCCTCTCCCAGGCTCTTTTCTTCATGGGGGAGGATTGAGCTGGCCATCCCATGCTGCAGGCAGTCAGGGCCCTAGAACTGGGATATGCTTCAAGTCATGCCTCTCATCCTCAGACTCCTCCTGTAACTTGCATAAATATAGATGTAGGCACGTCAAACATCATATGTATCAAATACATTTATTTGTGGCATAACTCTTCTAGGAGATGCAGTTTTGCTCTCTGCCACTTACCCGGAGCTCCTGCCCAGGCCCACACAGATACCTGCAGCATCCTTTTCTCTGGCCTCAAATTAGCTGTGCCCTAGCAACGGTACTCGGAGGGTGGCTTTTGCATTAATTCAGTCTCCTAGCATCTGCTTTAGACCACGGAGGGCCAGTAGCATCCTTTTGTCCCAGGAAGGCCATCTGATGCGAATGGAAGGGCTCTGACCCTCAATGGCAAAGCCAGGAGGGAAGTCACGAGCAGATACCAAATGTGACTGCCATTTTTTTTCTGAGTCCATTACATACAACAAGACACCTCAGCATTTTCTGACCACTTACAAAAAAATCTTAGTGCCAGTTCTGTGCAACAAAGTGGTAATGGCATGGGTCAGGCAGGGCTGGAAGGTGCTCATTGCTCTTGAGCAGTGGGGAGGCTGGGGAAGGGCAGGCAGAGGAGCACCAGGGGACTGATGCTGCTGTGAATTACAGGAGTTCCTCAGCCTGAGGATTTCCTCCAGGGTCAGCTGAGTAAGGATGGCTGCCTGGACAGCACTGGTTTCTAACAGATGTTTTCAAGGGCAGTTTGAACACTTATTGGATAACACAATTGACTGGTCAGATAGCATTGCTTGGGTTTGGAAAAGGTGAAAATCCAAATTCAGGCTCTTAAGCTAAGCAATGCCACTAACAAGCAAGTAATGGCTTTTTCATTCTGGCTTTGTGCATCATGCAATGAGGTCTTGATCCATGACTACAACTCCTAAGCTATAAAGTAATACAAATAATTAATAATAATAATGAGTTGGGATTCATTACGTGTCTTGCACTGCAGAAAATCCCCTGTGAGCAGTTACTGCCTGTGAGAATATTTCATGTCTGGCTGCAATTTGAAAATGTAGTGCAAGTGACAGCGTAATAAACCAAAGAACTTCATCAACTTCTAATTGAAATTAATGAGAACTGAACTACTGCATTGTGCATAAAAGAAGACTCCTTCCCCAGCCTTAAAAGCAGTTGACTCCAAGGGTGACATCGCTCAGTTTGAATTACCTTTTTTTCTACCTCAAACATCATTTTTATTGCAGAAAACTTGTCTTATTTCAGATAGACAACAAAAATCACATTGACTAAGAAGTCAGACTTTTCTCTCAATTCCTGCAGAACTGTTTTTCCTATATATGTATCAGATCAGTAAAAAACTATGGCCATCTGTATTTTGGATGACTAGGAACTGAAAATACATTCCTTACCTACAGGACCAGTTTCTACTATACTACTTCAGAAATTCATGCATAGACCAAATCTTAATGAAAAAAAGACCCTATTATTTCAAGGTCATTTTATACCTCTGTGACAGAGGTATGAAGGTGAGAAACAACACCATGCGAAAGCACAGTGCACTGAGGCATGTCAATGTGTTCGTCAAAATGTCTGTGGAAGCCCCTTTCCCATCCCCTGGCGGCAGAAATTAATAACAGAGGTGGTTGGTACTGGTCATTGCATTTTATTACCATGCCATAACACAGGCAAATATGATTCCCCATGCTGACATTTGTCACCATTTCACAGTACCATTTCACAGACCCCTAAGAATTGCAATGGGGCACAGCCCAAGCCGCTCAGCTCAAGGTTACTGAAGTATTCCTTGTTTTCATAATCACATGTAATATTTACTTTTCCAATAGCATTTTTGCCATGAACCCTGCTAAAACTAGAATTAATCTATTCTTTGCACAGCTCTGCAGAGCTTTAAGAATGTTGAACTTGCTGTAAGCTTTAGCACAGCCATTTACATCCTTCCACACTACTATATGGCAGCTGTTTGTGTTACATCTTGTGGGTCATTTGTGAAGAGAAGAGTCATTATGATGTACTGGACTTACAGACAGCAGGCACAAATCAGAAGAACTGTACTTGGAGGCATATCATTAAATTTCAACAAACAGCTTTACTGAAGAAGTCATTCTTCCTATGAGATCACTAAAGCTGCCATTGCTCATAAACTATTTAAAAGACCTGAATAAAGGGATACTTAAAATTTTCAGTTGATAAGACTTAATGTTGTGTCTTCTTGTTCCTTTGTTTCTTATTCTCCTACTTAATAGGATTTTTTTTTCTCAGTGCCAAAAAAATCTCTGCTCATGGACACCTACTTTCAGGATTATTGGGGAAACAGGATATTTAAATACTAGCTCTAATACCTACAGAGAGACGTAAAGATCTCTGAGATTTTTGATGGCTGCAACATAAATGGATGGTTAGCTTGTGACAAAGCATGCCACATGAGCTGAGTTCAAGCGACTGTCAGTCTGTACCTCAGATATTGTTGTTTTATTTCTTTTCATCCTAGGTATATATACTACTTCTAACAATTGTTGTTTTTCATATACCATCAGCCTGCACCCTGGGTCCAATTCAAAGACTGTGAAGTCAATGGAGATTATTCTAAGCAAAGATAAAAAAGTTTCTCCAGAAACAGGAAACAGCTTGTAATGTTTTATTCTATTTTATTTTATCCAAATGCAAAGACATAAAAACTATAACTTATGTAACTTTTCTGAAAATGTGATTAGTCTTCACCTTCCAGAGACTTAGAAAGCAGTGCCCAGAGTCTGCATATTCTTCTCCAAAATGTTTACCCTCTTGGAACTAGAAACACCATGTCAAAATCCCATCTTTCATAATGGAATTTACTACTTCTTGGCAGAGAAGGATGCTTTCTCCAGCAGTATTATGCACTAACAAGGCATGAATCAATTTACATTTTAATTGTAGGGGAGCCAGTACCATCAAATGGTGAAAGTGCTTTTACTTTACCTGAACTCACAGTCATTGGACACTTCCCAGTAGATTTGCCTTTACGGCAACACTTACTTACTTTTACTATGACATCCCTTGAGTACTCAGCATCCATGAAGATTAATAAATTCTTCCCAAACTGTGCTAAATTCATTGCCAATGAATCTTCTTTCACTACATGGAATTCTAAAAAGACGGTTTATTTTAAGCTTTTAACAGACTGTTGTAGTTAATTGTGTATATCAGGCAAAAGGCTTGGTTGCTAAGAAAATCTTTGGCATGTTTCCATGGGATTTGTGTGTTATTGACAGAAAAAGCACCAAATGATAGGAAATGCATCTGTTAATTTGAATAGTTAAACAAAAAAGAGAATAGAACAGTTTTCTGCCCAACTTCTGAGTTAATGCAAGCCGAGGCCAAAAATAACACAGATCTGTCAGTTTATAGATACTTGTCTTTAAAGATCTGATTTAAAAAAAAATTACACCCCCATTTTTGTGCAGATAGAACATATGGTTGTCAGTGGCTGCCCTTACACTGCTGCACAGAGGTTCCCGGGATGAGCTCAAAGTAAAAATATGTTATTTGCAGAAACACCCTGCGTGCTTGCTCCTTCCAGAAATCTCAGTTGCATTTACATTAATGTTCTGCACTGTGCAGTTGTCTGCCATGTGATCAGACAGGGCTTTCTCCATAGTTTTTCCAGCTGTCCCTATTGCTGTGGTCCAGAAGAGGGAGAGAAAAGATGGCCTGAGACAGGGAGAGAAGACAAAAGCTGAACCTCCCTTAAAATTCCTTGATACTGCTTGCCTCAAAAACAGACACAGCAGTAGGCGTCCAGGGCTTTAGCTGAATGAAGTCTGCCTGGAGGAACAGATGCCTAGTACTGGGTCATATCCTGGAGCTCAAAATGCAGCCAGGGAAGTTCTGCCACGTACAAGGTGGACACAGCCAGTGGTAGAAACAGCCAGGATCCCAGCAGGAACATACAGCCCTGTACAGGCCACGGTTTAAAGACTGACTGTGCAGTACATACTTAGTCCACTTCAAAACGTCTGTATTTTATATTTACAGAGAGACTGGAGTCACCTGGCAATCAAGATCAAGCAATGGGATTACATCCTATTGATACATTCCCAGAAACTGTAATTTTAGTTGCTCTGTATTTAGACCTTGGCTATGCTCCATAATCACTACATGACCTGATAACTTATGATTTTGAAGAATGAATGAGTCCCATAGGTCTACAGGCCAAATAAAACAGTGGATGTATTGTGAGAGGATATATTATTTAGCAGGATAGCAGAGTTCAATAAAGTAGTGTAGTGGCCAAGGAGCCTATTCAGAGAGTAGTTTCCAGGCACACTGAGAACACGGATCTCGAGTGCAAGGTTCAGAAAATCCTGTGGAAAGTGAATTATTCTATGAGACGATGATGATTTTTTTCTTTTTAATTCTTTAATTCATGTTGGGTTTAGGTATAATTTTTTTATGTCTGAACAAGGAAAATCGACCCTACAGTTGAAGCCTACATCCATGTATGGCATATGTGTTGCTCAGTAATTGCCTCCTACAGTGTTTATTTTCCTGGTGAGACAAATCTTGATTTTTGGTTTTCTCATTTAAATGCTTCTTATTTCAGTTTAAATACAGGAAGATTTTATAGATTGAAGAACAGGTTCATGCTTCTGATTACCTTTGAGCTGATTAAGCAGCAAAACATTATTGGACAATGAGGGAATCTTATTGGAGGTAAGAAAATTGAGAACGTCAGACTCTCTGATATAATTCAATAACAGCACTGGAGAGAATTATTCATTTGCTGGGAGATAAGTAGTCAGGCCTTTTCTGTTTTCCTTCTGCTTCTGTTATTCTACTCACGCCGAGACTTCGGGCAAGACCTCCTAACTTCTTGGTTTTTCAGTCTTCCCTTTCTGCAAAGCAACAAATCAAGCTGCTTTGCTGGAATGCTGCAGGAATGGATGTAGTGCTTTACAAATACCTAACAAGCTCTACTTTTTTGCTAAGAGGCAGAATATATAAAAATACATATATATACATAATATTTGCCAATGTTCTTGGGTTTTTTTCAAGACATGGCAATAAGAAAATAAACTTAAAAGCTACTATGACATACCTCATTAAGTGTCAGAGGTTTGTATCAAATATTTGATTCAAGGTTCTCTGTCTTTTAAAGCAGCACTGAGGCAAGGCACATTTGTTTAGCCTGCATATCCCTAGAAAGAAATCAGATATACATTTTTTTAAAGCACCTTCATTTGCTTATGAGAAGAATATCTCTCTGCAATACTTGATACAGAAGATGTTTTGTGCCTGCATAACATATGCACAGAGCATATGTTTTAATTTTAGATCAGTACAATATTTCAAATTTAAACAAATTAGCCCAAGGCATGAAGAACTATCATACTTTTGGGGTTTTTTTCTGTTTTTTAATACATGCCAGATTGTAGAGAGGCATTACTGATGAAAAGGACAATCATATACCTGAGCGTATTTTATTTACTCCTCATTAAGGACACAATATACCTCTTTTTTTTTTTTCATTTAGATTTTCATGTAGTGAAAAAAAAAATTACTGGTAATGATCTTACCTTGTTATTTCTTCACATATTTTTGTAATCATTGTTTTAAGGGCTTTTTGTGTTGAAGGTGCCATTCAAGCTTTGTTATTCAGAACTATTCCTCTTAAAGTTGTCCAGTTTCCATGTTTCATAACCAGGGAATACAGACATGGCCCTGAACTATTTCAAAGATAGCTGCTAAAGATAACTTAAAGATAAAAGCAAGTCAGAACGTTTAAATTTACCATTCAGGAGTCCACATTTTTAATCCTGTGAAATGGTACCTATTCATTTTTAATCCTGTGAAATGGTATCTATTACGTATATTGAACATGTACTCCAATAAGCCCTCTTTCTCCCACAGAAGGCTTAGCTTAATATGGGATGCTGTTTCTCCAATTGTAAACATTCTATGGCAGTGGAACCACCAAAGGTGATTGCATCACTTGTTATATAAAATTTCAAACTTAATTCACAAGTCAGAAGTGTCCTGAAAATCCTCTAACTGAAGGGAAATTCAGTAGCCAATATTCTTGCATGTTATTGGATACTCAGCTTTTGCAAACAATTGTGTAAGCCATTTGAATAGAAACAATGAACAGACTGCTTAAATGGCCATTGCTAGAAGAACATTTAATATGAGCCCAGATTTAACATCCATATGAAGCAATACCTCTAAACCTCCTTCTAAAATTTCTTTGGGTGTTCCTTACTCTGTCCACAAGGACTCTTTCATCACCGGCAGGGCTGCCTAAAGGGCCCTCATGCCGTATATCTTCTATTTACCTGACCTGCTCTTATGAACCTTCCTCAGCCTGTCTGAAGTGCAAGTATCTGTGATGGCTTGAGCAGAATTAATTTAGGTCTTTGCCAACTTGTCTGTTGTTCTCAGGAATGGCTTATTAGCAGCTCAGATGGGAGGCTGAGGAAGATGGAAAGGTCTGGTGCAAAAAGGTAGGGAAAGGGAGAGAAAGGGAGGTGTGTGTATTGAGGGGTCATGCAAAGCAGAATGAGGGTGGGAGAAGCTAGCTAAGGAGTGAAAGCTCTGTGGTTGGCTCAGCTGGGACAGGAGGCAGATGTGTCCATGGTGAGGTAGCTCAGAAAGGGATCCAAAGCATGAACTTGGTGAAACTTGCTTTCAGGCACTTAAGTTGTTACATTCAGTGCAGCATCAGGTAGCGCTAACATACAGGAGATGGTGAGTACAGCATGTACGGCTGTAATCCCACCCTTTCCTGGTTTCCATCCCTCAAGCAGAGATGCATGCACCCATAGCTTACTCTCTGCAGGCAGACTCTTAACACTCCTTTCACTCAAAGAACATCTCTCTTCATTTATCATCCAAAGAGAAGGCCGTGGGGCTCACCTTTTACAATCATCCAACAGTGAGAAACCGAAATCAAGCACTGGTTCCAGCTGTCTCTCCAGCCTGAGAGAATTAAAACTCCAATCACTCCTTTTAGGAGCTTCCAGCCCTGTATGGATAAGGAAATATTTGATGTACCATTTTCTGGAAATCTATTTCCTTATAGCAGCACGCGAGTACCCTCCTGTGTGGTTCATGTTTCTGCAGTGAGCACAGCAGGGTTCTGTAGGGAGCCCAGTCATGTTAGCTTGCCTTCAGTACGTGTTGACAATGTCTGCCAGACAAACCCCCGGTCAGGGACAAACGCGGCCTCTTCCCTGGATGATCTTGTAGTTGGGCAGACACCAAACTGCTGAGCTTTTGGTTGAAGTAGGGCCACTGTCAAAATAAACTGGAGTGTATCTTAGGCATATAAGGAACTGAAAAGCATTAAAGGATTGAAACATTCCCTGGATTAGACAGAGCAGATTCAGATCCTAAATTCTGTATGAACCTTCTTTTAATTTCACCTCTTTTTTGTCTGTTTGGTTTTGAGTTCTCATCCTAAAAGTTTTGCCAGCCATCATATAAAGATGCTGTTATGGAGCAAAGAAGTGGGATTCTGTGTCCAGCTCTCAGACTAATTGACTGCCTAATTTGTGTTTCAGAACAAGTGCAAGTCTTCATTTTTTTATTGAGAGATGCATCAGTGCTGCAAAATAAACTTTTCATATGGGCTGCTGTGGACCTACTCTTGATTTATGACATTATACTAGAAGCTGAGTCAAGCTAATATTGTTCACTGGATATGAAGAGAACAAATTTTAAGTGCTCTGGGGAAGCACTTTTCCATTTTGAATTTTATATGAAAACCAACAGAGTCTACTTCTACTTTTTCCAGTGGAGATGAGAGGGTAATCTACTGCAGCTATGGGAGGTCAAAAGTAGCCCGTGTTTTAAACAGTCATTTCTTAACATGGGAGTTAGTCACTTTCTCGTATCTCTTTGTTTCTTGGTTATAGTTAATCTTAAAAAGAAGAATGCTTTAAAATTTAAATTAACTATAAAATCTATAAAAATATATCATCAAGCATCCCAAACCAGGCACTTGACAATTACATTTATTACTGCACACTGACTGAACAAGATACTGCATTAGATACAGAAGGACAATTGACATCAAACAGGCACTCTACATAAAATGTAACAATATGCATTAGAGAGGAAAGGCATTTGGGGGGCATTTGATTAATGTACTTTTAATTGGACTTTCCTGCCTCATTGGTTTTATTCTCTCAATTTAGCTCAAGCTGCTCAAATACATAAATAGCCAAAGCACCTACTATAATTAACAAAACACACTGTTTGCAAATTACCAGATTTCTCAGACTGTGCATAAACAAATAGTATATTATGCAAATGCTGTTGAACTACAGAAATATAAACAGGCAAAGAAAGTCTAATACTCACTAAAAAAAACCCACAAAGCCTGACATCCTCCTCATTGAAAGCTGTTATTTGGGACACTTGATCTTTTTGGTCCTGTATTTCATTAAAAATTTGTAGGATGTTCTGCCAGTGCAGTTCAATTTTGAGTGTACTAATTTGAGTGTACTAAGTTATGTCCCTCATGTGATGCTCCCTGATCATATAAAGAATATGTGAGGCCATATTTGTTTCACAAAATTTAAGCAACAAAACTGAAAAGCAAATATATATTGAACAAAGAATGCCTACAGCAAAGAAACCCAACACAAAATGTTGGCTTCTACTGCTACATATGACTTTTAAAAGATTCTGGGATTTTTAAGAATCCCATGGTATGCACTATACATCTAGGATGTAATTCAAAAGACTACTTAAAGTGCACAATTGCTCATAAGACAGATTAAACATTTAACAACTGAGAAAACTATGTAGGTAATTCGGATTTGATACTTACATTCTCAGCAAATGTGAATGACATCTGGCAATAAAGCACATGGATAGAAATTTCATAGAGTATAAGCTGAGTGAACAATTTGTTGCATGAATATTTGGAAGGAAAAGAGCAGACTGGAAAATGTGCATCTTCCACGTCTGAGCAGTCAAATCTTTGCACAGGATTTAAGAACCAGTTAGTATAATATTGAATATCTTTTTAGAGAATTTGCACTTCAAATACTTTTCAGTTACCATACTAAAACCCCCAAAAGAGCTCTTCCTCGGTAAATCCTCTGTAATTTGCGTTTTAGACTATGTACATTTCTACCCTGGGAGCACCACCTACTGTTGAACATCTACATGTACAGTGTATGGGGGAACTCCTACCAGGTTGATTAGAGTTTAGATTAGAATACACAGCTTTTCCTTGAAAACAAACATTGAAAGTTAGAGACAGATTCTGCAAGTCACCTGCATAATATATGAGCCAAGAGGGAAAAATGTGACCCTTTTCCTCCCATTAGGTAAATATTGATTCAGGAAGACTCAAATATTGGATTTATTACATATTTACTACTCTCCATCCCTTCTTCACTACACTTTGCCACAGAGAAGTGTCAAATTATTATTTACTTTTTCTTTATAATGCTTTTCTATTTTACCTCACAAATTCAGTCACATAGGCTTGAGTAATTGTGAAAATGCATACAGTTTCCCTCATTAAGCACTGACAAATCATTTTACAAACATTCTTGCGGTCCTTTCATGTTGTTTACTTCACAGTTGCACAAAGCTAATAGTAGCTAAGATGTTTCCCATTTTTTTCATTGGGAAAGAGGATTTTTTGAGCTGGTACTCAATTTGCAATGGGGGTATTTCCAGGGAATGCTTAGGTGACTTGCAGACTGACTGGGCACTGGGTGGTCATTACTGCCCCAAAGCAAAAGGTTCTGGAACACACATGCTTAGATAAAAAATTAATTATAGAAGGGGAGGAATTTAAATTGAATCTACCTAGCTACGTTGCTGAGGAAAACAGTAGTGATGTGAAGTAAATGTCCATTAGGAGGTAATAGCTGGAGTATGCTCCACCACTGCTGTCCCTATGCTGAACATGTAAAACCGCTGTCAGTCAGGAAATTCCTTTGGGAAAACTGCTCTTCCTGCTTTCCAAATTAATTACATTAAATGTGGTGAATTACATTAAGGAACAGGAGCATGGAGGAAAGGTTGGAGGATTTTATTTCCATGCTACCAAAAAGTTTCAATGAGCTGTTTTCATGGAGGTGCACAGTGTAACTGAATTTCCCATACTATTTTCTTCTCTAGCTGGGATAAATATGATAAAGACTTGGAGCTTTTATTTTAAATGCATTTTATTATT